TTAACCCCCACAAAGAGATCAAGTTCGCACTAATCCTCCTGTTCCTTCACAAGGGAGGAGTTCACATTGACATAAATTGTTATGAACTTGAGAAACATAAGTCCATTCATATTTTCATTTCAAAGTGTTTTGTTAGCCTAAGGTCTTCTTTCCTGTTCAGCACTCCCCCCTTTTTTTTAACACAAATTTGAAGAATGTTAAGGCTGACTCATAATGAACAGCAAAGCATAAAAGTTTTTTCATATGATGTAGGGGTTGGAGGGATAATAGAGAGCTTTGTCTAACTCTGCTTTAAAAAAATCAACTACAAATTATTTTGGAATTTCTCTTCCATCTCAAATTCTCATCAATCAGAATGTGCAGTGATTTTTGTGTGAACACATCCAAAACAAGATGCTCTGAATAGACAAAGCAGTAGACTAGCGAGGCTACCCGTTGCACACAATCGGTCTTATCTCAATTACTGCTGCACATCAAGAAACAAAGAAACAGAATATATCATAATGGCCTCGAACATAGTCACCAAAAGGATCAAGGGAAGGGATAAAAAGTGTCGTGTGACAGATGGAGAAGGGAGGCCAGCAACAATTTCATTTTTTTTGTAATAACATGTACAAATAGGGGCTAAGTGGCGAGTTCCTGTCATTTTGTATGTAGAATTATTGCATTTGAGGGATTAAGGGTGGCTGACAGATGTGCATGACAGATGAAAAATGAGAATGTTCCCTTGCTAGTACCTGGAAATGGGTATTTGTGACATGATTGGTAATTAGATAACAATAAATGACAGTGAACATGATGATGATGATGATATAGTTTCTCACTTTTGCTGAGTTTGATGGGGATATCAGACTAATAAATCATAGTTTCCCCTGATCAATAACTTTTGTTCTGTTCATTGCTTGAATAGTTAAGTGCCAGTTCAATAAAAAAAGGGGGGGAATTCAAAAGAGAATTGCATGTTTGTGTATGACATTTTACTTTTATAGATTCATCCTGTATTTTCCACTTCTGTGAGTCTGAACAATTAGTTGATTGGTTGATTAATATTTTTTTACATCAAAATCCCATTCTTTTCCCTTTTTAAATCATATTTGTTATAATTGAAACTACTGGGTGATATGCAGTTGAGATGTATTGTTTATTACTCTAATGTAAGCGAAAGCAATCGAAAGGTGAATACCCATTATCCCCAGGCACTTGAACAACTTTGAATAAGGTGAAACAAATATTTTATATACAGATTTTAAGTCAAGTGGGTATAAAAGTGAAAGTGCTATTACCATTTTATTAGTAATAAAGGCATTTTGATAGGTCTCTGTTAACCATAGGTGGAAGTGAAAGGAGAGATATTGCTACTCCAGATGTTTAACTTTAGTTTTTATGGTAAATTGAGGGGATTGTTTATAAGAGGTGTGACAATGCAAATGATCAGGAAATGTCACTCATTTTTCTTTGGTGTTCTTTTTCTCTTTTTATTACAGAAGGAAATGACAACGAAACTGAAATCGAGGGCGAGCTTGGAAAACCTGAAGACTGTCCTTACTGTGATCGCTCATATAAGCGGCTCACCTCCCTGAAAGAGCATATCAAATACCGACACGAGAAGACATTCAACAACTTTTCTTGCCCAGAATGCAACTACTGCTTTGCCTACAAGTCCCAGCTCGAGCGTCATATGGCCACGCATATGCCAGGGCGCAACCAAATCTGCGACATCTGCAATAAGGCCTTTGTGAACATTTACAGACTGCAGCGTCACATGTTGACGCACACATCTGGGAATCGCAAGTTTAAGTGCGGGGAGTGTGGAAAGGCTTTCAAGTACAAGCATCATCTCAAGGAGCACTTGCGTATTCACAGCGGAGAGAAACCTTACGAATGTCCAACTTGCCTAAAACGCTTCTCGCATTCTGGATCCTACAGCTCTCACATAAGCAGCAAAAAGTGCTCACCTGTGAAGGAACAACCTCCAGCCCTCACCAGGATCACCGGTGTTCCTCCAGTCAAAGTAATCAATAGCCTTCCCTCGCCAGTTTTGCAATCTCCTCTTAGTGACATAGACACTAGTGAATCTCTACCTTTAACTGAGCAAAGAAGAGTGCCCCAGCTTACATGACTCCTCTTCACATCAAGATTCCCAATGTTGACGGTTCCGTTCAGGGTCACCCGAGCAACGAAACACTGGAGAACGGAAGCACGTCTCCTTTAACAAGTCCTGCAAGTGATGCTGTGAAGAAGGTTCTACAAATTGTAGCATCTACTGTGTGCAAGCAACAGAAGGACGGGCAGAAAACAGACATCTCAAAACTAAAGAAACACAAGACAACAAGTGACACAGCCCCAGTTGTCGCAAGTCCGTTTGAAATCAGACCATTTAAACTTGAAAAAATGGCAGCTGTTACTCCCTTGCCAAAGGCAACACCACCACCACCACACCATCTGAAGACACCCGAAAAGACACCTGAAGAATCAGAAAAGTCCAAAACATTCTTAAATGGAAATGGTGTTGCATCAAGAGAAGAAAAGTTATAACATTGTGGACTACACTCTAAAGAAAGTGCATGAAGCTCAAGCTATTAATCGCTGTTTGGAAACACGTTTTCCTTCTCAGATTAACCTAAATCCAGACAGAACACAGATGCAAGTATTGTGGACGAGAGTTCCATAGTCCCATCGATCTTCATCAGCACGAGCGTTATCTCTGCGACCTCAATGAGGATGTGCTCAAGATGAAGCTCTTTAATGGCAATCCACAGCCCCAGCAAAGCATTGGAATTTTCACATTAGATCGATATTACGAGATGCAGCAAGAGTTCTCTAGCCCAACACAAAAACGAGAGTGATAACCATGAATAGATGACAAGAGTGATGAGGAGGATGAAAATCCAAAGCAGATGTTGACGTCACCAAGAGAGAGTGAACAGCACCTGTCTCCAAAAGCCAGCCCCAATTCAGGAAGTCAGCTACCCCCTAACAATGCTGAAAGCCCTGAACCAGGGCACTAACAAGACAACACTGATATATCTAAGTTACTTGAGACCATTTCCAAGGCCCAAGAACAGGCCCTGCGTGCATTCTATGCCATGCAAGCTAACCCTCGGAGGACGGCATTGAAAAAATTTCAGTAGCACTCAATTTGCCTATGCAGCTAGTCAACAAGTGGTTCCAGCGGCACACGAAGCTCGAGGAGGAGGGACGGATCCATCGCTTAAGAGCTTGAGCTTAATGAGGCAATCCCAAGTTGTGACAGTTGTTCCACCCACACGACGACGCATCAAAGAACACACAGGAGCTCAATCTATCGATAGCAAGGAGACTTGTGTC